GGGCCGGGCCGGGCCGGCTTGTAAATCAGCCGAGAAACAGAGTCAGGTGCGAGACGCCGCGGCCGGGCCGCGCCGCGTGGGCGTGCGAGCTTAGACGTTCGCAAGACGCATGAGTACACACCGCGTCGCTTTCGGGAAAGTTATATATGCCCGGTGGAAATGAATTCCCCCGGCCCGAGGAACACGGGCTCCTCCAAAGAGTTATAAGCTCGCTTGCGGATGCCCGGATTTTTCCGGCAGCCGTCGGCCAACGGCCGAGCAGAGCCGAAAAATCGTTCCGTCCGGCCGATCGCTCGTAATTTATTAACCCAGGCTACGCAGAACCGGCTGCCCCCGGGAAAAACGGCCGTTTAATCGGCGACGATTATGCACGCGGTTTTTGTCGCGCGCCGGTGATTTGAACGACCGCGGAAGAAGGCGGCCGACGCGTTAAATTCCTGTACTCGAGGATCCCGCAAATCGTTTGCCATTTACGCCCTATTCGTGTTTTCGGTTCTTCGTCGATCCGCCGATTGTTTTAGAGCTTCGCCGTTAGCCGGAACTGCGACGTTCGTGTCTAACCCTTTGCAGTCGGCGCCGTTTCAAACCGTGATACGGTTGCAGTTTGTGGAACATGTTTTAGGATTTTCATTTTATACAATATTGCATTTTGTACGTACGAAGAATTAAATTTTACGATTCTTGTAACAATTATCGTTTTTTCGCTCAAAGATATTTTGACGCTAGATCCGAGACATTTTTCGTGACCCGCGGTACAGCAATGTCTCCCTTACTGACGCTCAGATTGTCCACTAAATTGGATAATTTGGGAAGAGGAGCCACGATTATTCGAGCCTTGCGGCTCGTTTTTATAATTGTGGACAATTTATAACTATAAAAATAAACCGCAAGGCTTGAATAATCGTNCGATCGCTCGTAATTTATTAACCCAGGCTACGCAGAACCGGCTGCCCCCGGGAAAAACGGCCGTTTAATCGGCGACGATTATGCACGCGGTTTTTGTCGCGCGCCGGTGATTTGAACGACCGCGGAAGAAGGCGGCCGACGCGTTAAATTCCTGTACTCGAGGATCCCGCAAATCGTTTGCCATTTACGCCCTATTCGTGTTTTCGGTTCTTCGTCGATCCGCCGATTGTTTTAGAGCTTCGCCGTTAGCCGGAACTGCGACGTTCGTGTCTAACCCTTTGCAGTCGGCGCCGTTTCAAACCGTGATACGGTTGCAGTTTGTGGAACATGTTTTAGGATTTTCATTTTATACAATATTGCATTTTGTACGTACGAAGAATTAAATTTTACGATTCTTGTAACAATTATCGTTTTTTCGCTCAAAGATATTTTGACGCTAGATCCGAGACATTTTTCGTGACCCGCGGTACAGCAATGTCTCCCTTACTGACGCTCAGATTGTCCACTAAATTGGATAATTTGGGAAGAGGAGCCACGATTATTCGAGCCTTGCGGCTCGTTTTTATAATTGTGGACAATTTATAACTATAAAAATAAACCGCAAGGCTTGAATAATCGTATCTCCTCTTCCCAAATTGTCCATTTTTGTGCAGAATCTGGGCGTCAATTAGGGAGACATTACTATATTTCCATTTGATACGATTTAGTATATTTTATGCGCACGAAATTGTGTCTATTGTCTAGTACAATATTAGTATTTTTAACAGTTTCTATTTCAAATATAAACCAAATCGATAACGTTAAAATGATTTCGAAACGTGATACAACGATTTTTAATGACGACTTGATGTCGCCCCTAGACTGCAAAGACTCGATCTCCGACTGCTACGTCACTGTACATAAAGATCGGACAAAATCAAACCGATTTATTCAATAATCCAAGAACGAGAAGAACGGTGTCAATTTTCCCAAACTTTTGTGCCCGATTTTACGGATTTATACGACGACGTTAGACCGTTAAGGGTTGAATAAAGTTCGCGTTGCTTAACCGATCGCGATGAAACTAATTCGCGCGTAACGAGTCAGACCCGCGGAAGCATGGCAATTCGTGGTAAACATGTCGAAGAATGTTGCTTCGATATTCCAGAATGAATCGAATGTATGAAATCGACAGCCGAAATCGCGGCAACATTGGACTCCGTCGACCGCGATCAAGATCATCGGTGTTTACGGTATAGGACGCGTGGATCCCCGATCGCGGTGTAACGGTAGCTGGCCCGAGATCGATCCTATCGGTCGTGCTCGCAGGCAGGTCGAATCGATTTGCATCGGGAAGAAGTCGAGGCGGTTTGCCGCGGTTTTAATTGAATCGGTGGCCGGTGCGGATCGCGGGCGGTCCGCCCGGGCAGAAAGGATCGCGCGGCGGCAGCAGCTGTTCCGATCGCCATTACCGTAACAAACAAGTGCTCCTTATCGAGCGTTTATTGCACGTCGCGTCGCGGAGTAATAGCTTGATATTGCATCGTTCCCGAGACCGATAAAACCGGCGTGCCGACCGCGCCAGATAACGGCCGGCGACCGCGTATGCAAAACACCCGACGAAAATTAATCGGCCGGCCACGCTAGTCCAGATCTTCGTGTTTCTGTCTTTTGACTGCCGATATATCGGAGATAGGAATCTCCTCCGGATAAATGCAGATAACGCTCGGATAATTAACGATAATCTTACGCGAGCTCTCTAATCTCTCTCTCTTTCTCTCTGTACATATGTCTGTCTCTCTCTCTCTCTCTCTCGCTCCCTCGTCCGAGGCTACGCGGCAACGTGATTTTTTATTACGAAGCGACAGGCTTCTCTCTGTTTGCCTCGGACAACGATTGACGTTTCGGATCAATTGCGTCAGGATACTCTACCTGTTCGCTGCGAAGCGGAAGATCGAAATCTAAGGGGAATAAATGCGAGGAGACAAGACGAATGCTACTGTTAGAGAGCCGATGGCGTGCGCGAGGCTTGATTCATCGCTTGCATTAATAAATACACTGACGGATAGCTATTTGCACATTTGCCCGATCGGCGGATCTTATCGGCGCCCGCTCCGAGTGCTTTTTAACGGTGTACGATACCGAGAGAGAAGCGAACAACCGCCGCCTCTCTAGAGGTTTCGCCGCGATTTTTCAACCGGTGGTCCGGTTTTTAATAGTCAAATTATGAGCGCTGCCAGCGCGGATTTATCCGCCGGCTGGTTTTATTCATCGACGCTGCGCGCGCGCGCGCGACTGTCGCGAGAAGCTTTACACCTGGAAATCTCGCTCGATTTTAACGGCATTCCGGCGTTCTTTGTCTAACGCTCGAAATGGCGAGGCGAGGTCCCGTTTGGAACCGTAGTATCAAGCGTTTGCATATTCTCGCAAACTATAAATATGAATATTAAATTATACATACTAAATACGTAAACATATAAACGTTTAATTATAAATATATTCATTGAAATTTTTGTACAAATATCACCAAAAATGTAAAAGTCACTTCGAGCCTACGATTCTGTGGCTGCGAGGAAGCGAATCCTGTAGATCGCGTGATTATTTCGAGTCCATAGAATTTGTGTATGCTGTATGCCGCACAGTTCAATCACCGCGTTCGCTAACATTTTTTGCAATTGTGAATCGCGCTGCGTTCTTCCTTACAGCCACAGAATTGCTCACTGTGGATATATTTCAATCGTTTCTCTATACATTATTTTACTCTTTATTAATGAACTACGTATTAGCCACTGTATTACGTGTATATAATAATGAAAATACTTACGAGCAGCATTGTTATCAGCAAGCGGGAGATCCGATCGGCTGTGTCAACAAGAGAGATCGGAACGGTGTACGCTCTCGTTGACACGACGTAAACAGAAGCGCACGAAACCCATGCAAAGCTGGATCGGATCAGCCTTTAAGGAGAGATCGCATGCGTGGTCGTGCAAAGCGAGAAAGGAGGAGAAAGGAAGAAAAGAGGAAAGGAAGTAAGTAAGAAGAACGAACGAAAGAAAGAAGCGTGAAGCGCGCGAAGCGGCATGTGGCGGTCGAAACGAGCGGACACAGGACGGCGAATAGTAGGAGAGTAGCCGTTCGAGGAAAGTCGGGCCGCGGCGGGCTTCGCGGGCCGCTCCTGCCTGGCTCGCGGTCTCGTCCTCGTGGGGCGTGAAACACTTGAAAATCCCGGTTATGCAAAACATAGGAAAACGGCCCTCTCGAGGCCAGGACGTTAGGTGGAACACGTAATTGAAAGCACTTTAGAGACCCTACGCGCCGAGGAGAGAGAGTGCACGCACAACGAGCACTCGCATTTGCATTCAGTGGCGGAGGGAATGCCTTTTAACCGAAATGACTGCCGTGTGTATGACAAACGCCAGGTTTATGTGCCGGAACGATGGGAATATTTATTGGCGCGAATTAATGTCTCCGCTCGTCCGTGCCCGGACGTTATATTTATTGGGACATTTCGACGCGGCGCGTCGAGCCCGCTTGGAAAAAACCGAGAGGAGGCCCATTGAAAAAGGGCACGCGGCAGAGGAAACGGGCCCTGTCGCGTCGCGTCGCGTTCGAAGGGCCCGTCCGAGGGTAGGAGGGACACACAAGTCCGGACAGTTTCGCCGCGAATTGATGCCTTCTTCGCGGTTGTCTCATCCCTATCGTCAACGTTTCCACGCTGATAGTATTTCTCGCGGATGACTTTAAGGCTCCATAAACGCGGGGGCACCGAGAAATCTTCTGGCAGAGGGATCTAATAAATCGCAGTGAAAGAGAGCTCTCTCTCTCTCTTTTTCTTTCTTTTCCCGCCTCCAGTTCGGTTGGAAGATCGCCGCGCGAATTTTTCCCGCGATTTCCCGTCGCGAGATCTCGCAGAGAACGGTGGAACAGAAGAACAGAGAATCGAAAGAATTTGTTGGAGCGATCGCATGCAAAGACACGCTCAAAAACGCACGCGGCACGGAGCAAAATCGCGCGGCGCGTCGCGTTTTCCGTGTTCGTTGGTTTACAAGTTTACATTTCGTTTCGAGCGTTCGACGACGCAATGTGAGGTGGCGAGATAAAGAATCAACACAGAATTTGGATGCACTTAATTTATATATATATATATAATATGTATATATATAACTCATTGCCGCGGCGACTCGTTCGCCGCTGCGAACGTATGTACACGTTACAGAGTTTCATGTGAAATTATAAACATCACGGGCTCCGGATTACTGGATCATTTTGTACAATGAGCTTCCTTGGACCGTCTCTCACTCGCCTCTATTTGTTCGCGCGCTAAGCGTGGACTGACTATCGTTCGAATTGATGATTCTGCTCGGCTGCGACGATCCACCGCGCGGTTCCTGGATCCTCGATCGCGGTCTCGAAACTACGGCGCGCACGAGAAACTTCGGTCAAGGTAATAACATTCTACAAAAGTAGATTCAAGGTACTCGTACAGGTCCACCTGTTCACCAGCCGATCCACGGATCACTGGAGTTTGGAGATCGTTCTTGACTATCGTGGCGGAGACTCGACAAATATTTGCACAATATAAACTAGACTTTATAAATGCTAATTAATTTAATTAAACGACGCGCGTCGGAATCCGCCACGACAGATAAGGCTCGTTCGCGAATGAAAGGCGGCTCGTTCGAATGCAGGAAGATTCGGCTTCCTCCACAAATAAATAGAAAATTCGATGCATTCTCCGGGTGAACAGGTCGATTAAAAAAATTCGGTTTAGAAGTTTCCCGCGCCGCCGTTCGATCGAGGATCGAAGAGTGATCGCGTCGCAGCGAGCGGACGCGTTTCGAAACAGATCTCGAGGATCCTGGACCTAGTCGAAATGTGAATCGAGTGACGAATCGCAACAGTTACAGTAATTATAATAATAGCAAATGAAAGATGATGACGACGATACTAATTAAAAAAGAAAAACGAAAATCATATAGAATTAATAGTAATAATATTTATTATAATTAAACCGTAATAATAGTTTTTAAAGATCACTGTCGGTGATAGCAAATGAAAAGTAGTAAACATTAATGATAGGCGTTCTTCGGTTTGCGCGGCTGTTTTTTTCGGGCACGAGCCACGAATTTCTTCGATCATCTTCTTCTCGCGTGACCGACCGACACGGGCTTTTCGTATGTACAAGGAGCTTGGTGGTTGATCGTAACTACTTTATAACTACCGATTCCTAAACCACTGGTCAATGTAATTTTGTCTTACGTCAATGACGAGGTTGAATCTCTTGAAAGTTTCAACAATTTTCACTTTAATTTAAAGCGCATTAAACGGTAAAGTTCATATAAAACTTCCCGACTGAAACATTTTCATAGCGTCAGGAATTATAAAAGCTGGCTTTTGCAATTCTAGTGTTTTAAACGCGGTGGAGGAACCGGGGCTCGATCAACGACCAATCGACGCATTCGCCCGTGTATATGTAGGTACAAGGGTTTCTTCTCCGTGGAAAAGTGCGGGACCACTTTTCCAGTGAGACGATGTTCGCAATAAATACTGTTCAATTTTTCATTCTCTCTCTCTCTCCCTCTCATTCTCTCATACGCTCACTCTCATTCTCTCTCTCTCTCTCTCTCTTTCTCTCCGGTCATCGTCCATACACAAACACACTTTGATTCACCAGGAACGTCGTCCATCGAGTTTTTTGGACTCGTCTCCCCGCACACGCTCATGCGTCCAGATTCGGGTCCTCGCTCTCGCATACGATCTTTCGCCCGACTTCGTTGTCCCGTCTGTTTTCCGTCGCTAATTGAAACAATCCTAGAGCGACTCGGCTCGTCTTGGCGCGACAAGAGGAGGTCGCGCGCGCGATTCGACGCCGACGGAGGTCGAACGAATCGTCGTCGTTCTAAATCGGTGCGGAGAGAAACAAAAATATATTGCTAAAACGGAAAATATAATACACGTGTCTCTCCATCTAATACTTCGTTATACCTACATATATATATATATGTATATAAATATCATACATTGGGCGAACATGCGATATGCATATAAATATACATTTTATGTTTATCATACATTTGTACATAACAACACACGATATACATTTATATGCGTATACGTTCGCGCGAAGCCGCGACACATCTAGCCAACTGCACACTATCTCGACTCCCATCATCCACCGTGTTCGATTCAATCTTTCTCTCTTTCTGTCACTCTCCCTTTCTCACCATTTTTTTTTCTTCTCTTACCGTCGACCATTCTCGAACTTCCCTCACGGCTATACCCTGGATATTTCATCTTACACGCGTGCTATGCTGTGCAGCGTTCGTTTATCACAGTGAGTTTTCTTCTTCTCTCGCTCTCTCTCTCTCTCTCTCTCGCTCTCTCTCTCTCTCTCTCTCTCTCTCTCTCTCACGTCCTTTCTTACTCTCTTTCTGTCACACATATAATACACTTCGAGAAGGATCGTCCCTCGGCGGTCCGATCTATTCGTTCGCACGTCGATTTCTAATCGAGGAAAAGGGAACGATCCCTAACGGGGTCCGAACGCGACGCAAAGGGGGAAGGGGGGAGGTCGGGCTTGCGGCTCGTCCCCGTCGAGAGGGCGTGGGGGCCGCAACGAACGATTCGTCGCAAGCTGGGGAACCGTCGGTTAGCTTCTGGACACGGGTTCCCTCGAATCCCGCGTGATTTTGTTCGACGCGATCGTTTCTCGTCGCTCGTTTCTCGGCTCGCTGCGTCTTCTTCGTCCGGCGTTGTTCGATCTGTCTGTTGTAGATCGGCAGAGAATTGGCGTCGGTTTCCAATCGACGGGTTTCCAATCCGGTCCACTCACACCTCCGTGTCCCAAGGTTGCGAGAAATCGATCTCGAGTTCTTGCCTCGGCCCCCACGTCTCCCATTAGCGGTCTATCATTCTCACCCGTATTAATTTTTGCTCTCACGAGAAAGGTCTCTCATTCTCGAGCTCGTCTTCTCGCGCTTGTACGCAGCCTTCCGTCCAAGTTCGTGCGACTCTAAGCTATCCTACGAGGTTATGGTTTCTGCGTTAGCTTTTTAGGGACTGATTTGGCTCCGATGGTTATTTTGGTCGGTTGTCCGGAGGTTGAGTCAGACGAAGACGCGGCCGGTCGATCGATCGATCGATCGATCGATCTCTGTTTCCGCTCGGCCAACGGCGCGCGGTTCGAGACGAACTGCCGAAATCGAAGCGGGAACGGACGCGGACGCGGGCTTCTGTTGACTCAGCCTACGGGCTCGTACGACGCTTTAAGCTCGGAATTTATCACCGAGCCCGGCGGGGCGGGCTTCGCCATAAATTCGGAGTTTAAATCGCTCGAAATTTCCCTACGTTCTGGACCCTGAGAGTAGACCGCGCGGAAACTGATATTACTCGGAACACCGGAAACCGAACCCGATCTTCGCCGGCGACCGAGACGGCGCGCGATGGTCGCGCGGGCAAATCGTACAGAAGAGCGATCCAACGAGAATAGGATCGGCTCGATCGGACCCGAGCAAAGCGGAAATCGATCCGCGAGAGGCGAAATCACCGGGAAAGCAGTCGCTCTCGTCTGCTGCTGTTCGTCGCGGATCGTCCGGCCGACGGATCCGAGCGTGGGATCCTGTCCGCTCGAAACAGATCTAAGGACAATCTTCCAACCATACCGAGGCGGAGGGACGCGGAAGAACGGGGGTACGCCCTTTAACCGGTGCGAAGGGCGAAAAGGAAAGATACGAGGGAGGATCGCATACCTACTAGAGTTGGCAAGCTTTTCTAATCGATCAGGGCGAGCCTGGAGAACCGATCAAACTAGCTCATGCGTTCCGCTCCGACGTCGTCGGCCCTCTCGCGCGCGCGGTCTCGTCGTCCGCCGTGCGAGCAGACGCCAAGCTGGGAAGAGGGGAGCCACTATGGGGGTGTCGGTGCTAATTGTTACACGTACTCAGGATTAATCATAGGGTCCAGAAGTGGAAATGTCGTCGCGACGGTGTTAGTATGCAAGTGGGCGCGACGCGCGCGGGGGTTAAATTGTGAAGCATTACGAGTTTCGGCGGGGGCTGGTTGCGTGTCGCGAACCATGTCGGAGAGACCGATTTTCCGAGATCGTTCGCGACCGGTGCACGCCACGAACCCGACGACGCGGATCCGCGGGCGCACGCAAGCTGCGATGCGAACGGGAAGGATAAACCGGCTGTCCAGCAAACTAAACTACGGCCAAATCGTTTTGACACTAAAATGGAAATCGAGGACGGATCTCGTGAACCTAGGTTTATCCTACCCTCGCGAGGCTGGATGCGCGATCGAGAATCTTGCCCGGGGGAGATCTACTCGGAGAAAAACTATCGACCGATCGGCAGCTTGGAATCGCGGCCGCTTTTTACGGCGACGAATCGCGGTAAAACGTGCTCGCGAGACAACGATCTACGGTTCGATGCGAATCGAATCGAGCGTCGACGAATTCTGTGGTGGAACGCCGCGTGTCGGACACAGCTATCGCATTGAAAACATTCTCGTTTATAATTAATTCTGATCGCTGCTTCATTCTTCTTTTTCCAAATCTTACGAGCCAATCGAATTTGTTTCCAAGATTTTCTTTGCAGTAACATCCAATTCTATGTTCTATAACTGAACGCGTGCACGATCATGAATCTTTTTCTTAAATCGACACGCTTCGTTTCCCTCTTTCCAGCCACAGAACGTTTCCAAAGCGACAGACCGACTGTTTTACGTAAACCTGCAGGATCAGGAGATCTCTGTATCGGAAATCATCCGCTGGAATACGAAGCGAAACGTCGAAGACTCGATCGGTATGAAAAATCGGTTCCAAGCAGCCGAGCGGCGGGTTTGTTCGAGGAAAGATCGTCGATCGTCTGTTGCGTCTACGAGTGAGAACAGGGGGTGGGGCGGGGGTATCGGTCTATAGCAATAGAAATCTGCTTACATATGAGTTAGAGGCGGAATGGCGGAGTGGTGCTGCCCGAGCGTGTCCGGCGAGGGTCCAGGCGAATAGACACCGGCACCGTGTTGCACGACCCCTTGGTCGACGCCCTGCGGCAGATACATGGAGATCATCTGCCTAAGATCGCCCTGGGTCTGCTGTGTCTGCTGCTGACCCATGTACTCCCGTTTGATGACCTGACCGCCGGCACCGGCCGTCGACGTCGCACCGGTCGGCGTCGGTGTGTGTATGCCGCCGCTCGCTGGACTCGTCGGCTCCGATTTTATGCTGCTACCGCTCGGACTGTGACTGGACATCTGGGAGCCGGGCTGAGCTTGGTGATACGGTGACGGCGATCCGCCTGGCACGGTGGTGTTGGTATACGTGGCGTACCCGTTCATGTAGTTGTTGATGGGGCTGGGACTGCCGCCGCCCATGTGATGTCCCATGTCGTACCTCGGGTACGTCGCTGAGGCAGCGGCGGCCGCGGCCGCCGCGCCGCCCATGTGGCTATTGTAGGCAACGTGCTGCTGGTACGCGGTCGCCGGGTCGTGCATCATGTACCCGTTGGGCATGTAGCCGTTCGGCATTTGGTAGACGTCACGGGGTAGCTGGGCCTGTTGTGGGCCGCCGGCGGCGCCGACCTGTCTCTGGTCCACTCCCAGCATCGCGCCGACACCGGCCACACCGCCGCCCAACGGGAACTTGTCCTTCTTCAGCAAGGTTTTTGTCTTGCGCCGCGGACGATACTTGTAGTCCGGGTGCTCCTTCATGTGCACCGCCCTGAGACGCTTCGCCTCGTCGATGAACGGCCGTTTCTCCGTCTCGCTGAGCAGCTTCCACTCTGCTCCCAACCGCTTCGAGATCTCCGAGTTGTGCATCTTCGGGTTCTCCTGCGCCATCTTGCGCCGCTGACCCCTCGACCACACCATGAACGCGTTCATCGGCCTCTTCACGCGGTCGATGTTGTTGTTCTTGCTCGTATTGTTGTTGTTGTTCGGCGGCTGATGATGCTGCTGAGGCTGGGCCTGCTGTTGTTGCTGCTGGTGAGGATGATGCTGTTGCTGCTGTTGTCCCGCGGCCTGCTGCGCCATCGAGTGCATGCTCTGCTGCTGTTGCTGTTGTTGTTGTTGCTGCTGTTGCGCGGCCTGCATCGAAGCGTAGTGATGCTGCGCGCTCTGATGATGATGCTGCAGCCCGATCCCGAGGCCCCCGGCGCTCGGTGGACTGCCCGAGATAGCCGGACTGTGCACTATCGAGCCGATGGTGCCGTAAGGCGAGACCCCGGTATGGTGGCCCATCGGCGAGACACCCTGATGAGGGTGCGGTGGCATCTGACCGTGCAGGCTGCCGCCTTTCAGGTCCGTCTCCATCGTGAGCATGTCTTCCTCCCTGTGCCCGTACAGCTTGCCGCCCTTTCCTGGTACCGATCGACCACAAGAATAATCGACGGAACACGCCGACACGACGTCCTCGACTCTCGAACCGTCTCTTCGGCCGAGGGACTCGTCGAACGTCACCACCGCTGCTCCACCGTCGTTGGTCACTCTTCGGAAACCGAAACTGCGGTGAACACTACGCGGCCACGTAACCTGGGCTTCCTACCCGGGATATTGTCATGTGAACAGAAGCGGCTGCACCCTCGGACATACGTGGATCAACGGAACCAGCCTCCTTTGGACACCACTTGTTGGAATTATCGCTCCCGGCGACGCACTGTATGTATCCTTTACGGATACTCACTGAATTCTCACTTCTCGGCCCGTTGATTCAAGAAACAATGTCCTCATCGTCCTCTGTCCTGATTACGGATTATTGTCACTAAATATACGGACGCGCACAATTCTCACCGGCAAACTCTAGAGTCAATCGAGCACACCGCGCACTGACGATCGATCATCGAATCCACGCATTCCTGGATCTTTTGTTCTCTCTCTTCCTCCGCGTGCGTCTCTCTTTCTCTCTCTCTCTCTCTCTCTCTCTCTCCCTCTCTCTCTCTCTCTCTCTCTCTCTCTCTCTGGTACTCGAGCGAGATTGGACACTCCGGTCTGTGTTGGTAATCACGAGGAGTCACCTCGATTGTTTGCTTCTCGTTCGGCTTCTCACCGTGGTACACACGTTGGTAGCAAAACACAGCTTGGATTTGATAGCGCGAGAGACCGAGTATCGGCAACGGTGATCCACAGTGTCCGACCGAGAACTGACGACGCACTGTCACTTTCTTCCCCTGGTAGCACGCTGTTCGCTCTCTCTCCCCCTCTCGCTGTTTAACCGTCTCTCTCTCTCTTTCTCTCTCTGTCTCTGTCTCACTTTTTCTCCCTCTCGCTCGAACCAGTCTCTCTTTCGGCTCGCTGGCTCGTGACTGGCTGCAGGCTCGCGATACGCTCGACGAATCGGATCGCGACGATCCAACGATACTGGCCCGCCGATCCGCCGCGAGATCGTTCCACGATCCTTCGAGCACACCCGCGATCGTACGCGCTTAATATCGTGTATCGCGGCGCTGGTCAACACCGCTCGGAACGACTGGTCCCGGCTGATCCTCGGCGATCACTGTTATCCCGACGATCGTTGCCGTCGATAGCACTCCTTCCGTCCCACCGGATGGTACACGCGTGATCTGTCCTCCGGTAGCAGCGCGTGTGCCGCGCACGTTCCCTCATCCGCCTTGGCCTTGGGTACCACACGATCCACCGTACACCTTGCGCGAGCTGCACACGGCGAGTGTTCTCCGTGCGTGCGTGCGTGCGTGCGTGCGTGCGTGGCTCCGTATCTGCGTGCGGTTGCGTGCGTCCGTACGAGGAAGAAGAAGAAGGAGGAGAAGAAGAAGAAGAAATGGCACACACTACTAGCAGCGACCTCCACACTCCATGGAAGAACGAAACCGTCTGAGCATTTGTGGATTTCGCCTTGGGGTCCCACTCTCGGGGCTCACTTCCTGCCGAGGCGGCTGTCCCCTCCCCTCTCTGCTTCGCTCGCTCCGTGCTCTCCGCCCCACCACACCTAATACCCTACCTTCCTAACCGCCAGCGACCATACCTAACCGGCCAACAGACCAGACCCGAGCCTACCGACGGCAATCGATTGGCACGCAAGCCTGCCATCATTTCTCTCGACCAATCGCGCGGCTCTATCCGCCACCGAAGGCGGCGCCATTACGCCGTGACGTCATACCCAACAACCCCGACGACCTCTCGCGGCGACGCTTTCACCCCTCTACCTTCCCGGGATCCTGTTCTCTCCGTTCGCCGTCGAGTTTCTCTCTCTTCGACTAACGGTCTCGCCTCCTGCCCTCCGACGTGTCCACGCGTTTCTCCTCTCTCCCGCGACGCTCTAGCCTCTCCACCGGGTCGCCAGTGTTTCGTCCACGCGTTCTTCCAGCTCCAAACTCACCCCGAGCTATCCCCCCTCGACCCACGGACCCGCTGGACCACGGCTCCTCCGCGGATACACTCGCTATCCCCACAGGCTCTCCGAGCGTCCCGTGTCGCGTCGTTTCGTTTCGTTTCTCCCCGAGCTACACGCGCTCTCTTCTCCTCTATTCCCGGCTATCCTTCCGACCGCCCGCGCGACACCCCCTCGGATCCATCAACCCTCTTCGTTCATCCCGAGCGAACCGTGTCGCGAGGTATCCTCCTTTCAATCGGGTCCAGTGACCTTCGAATCTCTCGCGCGCGGATCGACGCGGCAACGGGGGTGGATCGGTGGCCGCGATCGAGGTGTCGCAGGATCGTTCGCGGGCCGAGGATCTTGCGATTAGATCGATTCGAGGCGGTTCGAGGATGCGATTTCGATGCCGCCGAGGGAATCGACGCGCCTCGGATGCGCCTTTTCAGGTAATCTTGCCGATCTCGTTCTGCCGGCTTCGCGCCGAAATGTATGCGACCGAGACGAGCAATTATGCTCGTCGTTGCGAGACTTATTTTCGGGAGAAATGCGCTTGCGCTGCCCGGGAAATTGCGCTTCAGATGTGATTAATTTTCGATAGGAAAAATCGTCGAGGAAGGAAGCGCATTTTTTTCGGATCTCCGTTTCTTTGAACCGGTGCAAACGATTTTTATTTTACACAGTGATCCGCGGTCCAGTGATTAGGGTTGTTTGAGGATCTTGGGCTAGGTCGAAAAAAACAATCAGTGGAACTTTCTGCTCGCGAGCCGTACCAACTGCGTAGGCATTTATATCTTATCGCATTTCTCCGAGGTATCGCGCTTTCTTTCGAGATTGCGATTTTTTTCACCGCAGCGTGGGAGAGCCCGGCGATTAATCCAGGGGCACGTGGACGGATCGTTGAATCATGGACTGTGGTAACGCAACCGCGTCGGTGGAAATCGTAGATCCTACGTAGATCGGGCATGATTTGTTACCGCACCTGTTGTCGTTCTCGCGCTGTAAACTACAGTCTGATCTGTCCTCGGCGCAGGAAACAACTCGCCTAAACATTGCATCTGGGATCGCGCATGTTGCGTCGATAAATCCTGTGCGTCGCTTTTGACGCAGAAAGTACGAACACGCCGAGTTCCTCGGTTCGCGCAAAATGTTGCGCGGACGTCGTCGAACGGTAATTGACGCGCGTCGGTCGCATATCGGTGACGCTAATTATTTAACTAGCTTTTGAAATTCGTTTTTCCGTCGTAATATATCAAACGAACCGAATGTTATTGGGACTTTTTAAAACGTAACGAGGTTAAATGAACATCTCCTATGGCAAACGTTAATCTTCTAATTTCGGTTTCGTTAACTTTAGGACGCTTAAGGTGTATCAGAAAGTAATCCACGTAAGAAAGTGTGGAATAAATAATAAGGGTGGAATAAATGTTATTTTCTCTGTTCGAGGTTTATTTATTCCTACGACACTGTTAAATAATATACTTAGGTACCTGTTGATGCAAGAATAAACCCTACAGAAAATTGATAAAAGAACGATGTCAGAACAAACATACATTTTTAAAATTCTGTACATATTTTTTGACCCCCCTTAAGCATGATAGGGTTAATTAAATGATTTTGCTACTAATTACTGCAACTGCTGAGGAGTTTTCAGGGTGTCTAGATACCATACCGGAATAATATTCGAATAATGGCACCGAGACCACCGGGAAGAGCATTATCATCGGCGCCGCTCGCACCGAAATTTCTGGTCTTGGATGCGATGACCGACACTCTCGCGCACGGTGTCATCGACGGAGGAGAGATTGGCCATCGGGCCGATGATTCTTCTCGCTGAGGAGAGGCTTTCCTCGTCGGAGAGCAAACCCCGGAGTTAATTTGCCGGGGTTGCGGGAGCATTAGCTCGTGTCGCGCTTCGTCGTATTCAAATCTCCCATTATATCCCGGTCGACTTGACCCATTTTCTCCTAGCCGGGTCTCTCTCTCTCTCTCTCCTTTTTTCCTCCGCTATTCATTCTCCCGTTCGTTCGGCCCTCTTCTCCTCGTCTCTCGTTCGTGAAATCCACAAAGAGGCTCACCAGCCGTTCCTGAAAGAACCTCTATCGGCCGATGCGACTCCGTTTAAGCGGGTTCCTGCGTAGGACCTGTTGCCGCGGCTCACGGGCACACGGGGAGAGAGAGAGAGAGAGAGAGAGAGAGAGAGAGAGAGAGAGAGAGTCATCGCGGGCCAGAGAAAGCGAGAGGAAAAGAGAGCGGAACGCATAATGGAAGAATGCGTCATAGATAATCGTAGAGCGCAACCCCGGCCTCGTGCGTCGGCGACAATGAAAGTAACGGCGGACGGATTGGAATCCCATTCGAACTTCGAGTCGTCGTTCGCCTCCGAATGCCAGCCCTTTTCTCCCTTTTCTACCTCGGACCAGCCACCCTTCGAGATATCGGCCCTTCGCGGCGCGCAACTCCTCGCGAGGGATCCCGCTTCCTCCAGCTTTCAATTTTCCGTTTCGCTTCCGAGCCTCCGCTATGCCTCCAACTAACTTCTACGATCGATGATTGGGCCTGATGCGAATCAAATCGTCGAGAAACTACTGAATACGATCCCATGATACAGGCGTTTGTATATCATATACGCTAATTTGTCGGCTCATTCGGTTACTTCTTTCCGATTCGCGTTCCTTTGAGTTCGAAATAATGAACAAAGAATTAGGGTCGTTGGTTCAATGTTAACAGAATTTCGACCACATTTTATCGTTCCAACAATGCTTTGTAAATCTTTTATATTTTATTTCTGCAGGATTCTAAATGTATTATTTAACAGTTTTGCAGAACTAGGTATAACTCCAAGAGAAAACATAACATTTGCAGCACTCTTACGTGAATACGAAATAATTCTCTCTTAATGTATAAATATAAACGAATGAAACTAGATTTTGACTAACAGGAATCCCCATTATTTCGCAGGCGTCTCATGAAACTAATTTACCGAATCGGCGGGCAAAGAATCGAGGAAACTAGCGACGCCGAAAGTTTTATCGGCCGCAAATCTGCAGCAGCCGCCGCTCGATTTCGGACTTCGGTCGGTATGAAACATGAAATATCGCGTCGGTAGCTGGTTGCAATTATGCACGGTCGAGTGGCCGTACGTTCGATAAACGGAGAAGGTCGGCTCGATAAGATTATCGAGCCGATAAGCGATCGGTGCAAGGTCTGGGTTGACTCAATGCTACGATCGGCGGATCTCCGGTTGAGTCAGCCGCGAAAAGAATCACGGATCGGGAGTACGTATTGCGGCCGGGAGAGTCTCGCCGGGCAATAAATCTCAACGGCCGGCAAAGGGTAATCAGAGGAAGGATTGCGGACGCGAACCGGCGACGACTGTGGACGCGAACGAGAAACCGCAAGCGGAGAATCGGCGAGCAGAGTTTTTCGAATGACCGCGCCGCCTCGTCGGCTGGGAAAGTCCCGCTCGTCGATGACTCCGTCCGAGTGGCCGAATATTGACGCCTGCTTAACGAACCCGCGAAAATTTATTGCTAATTGTGTTGGCCGGCGTGTCGCAGGTCCGCAGAGCAGCCGTAAGCGGAGCTTTTGTTTGAGGATCGATCGGCATCAGGGTCTCCGGTGCGAGGTACCTGCTTCCGCAACGAACCGGCATATAATAAACCTGCGCGAAAATACCTGTGCTTCCTCGACCCGTAGAACCTGTTAGGTTCGCAGGATACGCTGCCACTAATTAACGCGCCCGGTTCTCGCCTGGCCCGCGAAAACTATCCGCTCTCTCTCTCTCTCTGCCTACGCACTTTCAATCCGCTACGAATGCTCGCTGCAAATGCGTTTCGCGAAATTCGACGGCCGAAGCGTTCGAATTGCAATCCGATAGCGGATGACCGTCAGAATTCCACGGTATCCGTGGTTAAATCTTGAACATCGCGATGCTCATTTCTTCCGGATCATCTGTATTTTATTAGCCCGTAATTAATAATAATAATAATTCTATAAACGAATAATTTTATATGCGAACCTTTTACGGCAGAATTAAAGTTTCGAGGCGAAGTAGAAATTCGTTTTGTGTAGTTCGCCCGTTTGCATCGCGAGGAAGAATTAAATGTATGTAATGACCGGACTGCGGATTTTATGCATTTACGGGAGAACTGCACAGGCCGTATACGAAACAGGAAAGGCATCGGATGGATTCGAGGATAGCGTTACATTATTTTCGATGCTTCTTACATCGCCTTTCGACGATTTTTATTTTGCCTAAAGATCCGCAGCCTATTAACGAATGAACGGTTCAGTGAACCGCGATGAGCGAACGGGTGAACGCTTCAACTTCTTCACGACGAGGTTGCTCCAATCCAGTTCTCCCAACGCGAGAATATTTTTAGATACATCGAATGTTTTCCATCGTTCCGTGAAATTCCAGCCGGCGAGACCGTAAAATCTGCAATCTAGATCCAGTTCTCGAGTTCCTAGCTAGGCAAAGACGTTTCTATCGTCAATTTCTCCCTCTCCTCGACGTATAGTTTTCGACATACGTGCTTTCCGAAGCTCGCGGTCCGCTCGCATTCGCCGGATTAAACGTGCCGGGAAGCGTGTCGACGTATCCGTTGGACACAACAAGGACAATTCCTACGAGGCGTGAAAAGAATTTCTGAGAGCGGACAATGGGAACGGATGAAGCGCGGCGGACAGCCTCATTTGGCCTGCTGACGGCGATCGATTAACAACGATAATGGGAAGGTTCTCCGGGAATTTCGGGGAAATTATCGCGCGTTATCGGCGAGCCGCGGCAGACGTCGCCGTGAAAACAGAAAGTGGCGTCGCGGGGTGCGCGCGCGATTAATGCCGGCGCGATGCGGCGCGGCGCGGCGTTCCGGCCTGGTTTTCGGGCGACGGAAGGCTGCGACACGCCACAAGTGGCACATAAACCGCGCGGAATAAGTGGATTGATTGGTCGTCACTGGAAATAAAAGGGGAAAAAAGGCGGGGAAGGAGAAGGAGAGAACGAGAGGAGGATCGAGAGCACCGGCTCGCGGAGTAGACACGAGAAACTGTACAATAAGTCGGGCCCCGACAATGCCGTGTACCGCGGGCGGTCTTTGTGATTCAAATCAATGTTTGCGATACTCGATGGCACGCTGCTTTTGTGCGCGCGGCGAGCTTTCGTTTAAGCGGATACGTAGGTACCTGCGCGTACACGTACCTATCGAGCACCCGAGCCCCGATAGTCTTCTTTTCCAACGATTTGCCATCTCCTCTCGGCCATTTTTACCGTCCGCCCCTCCGGGGCCCGGATCCTTCTCCTTCCAATTGGCGATCTCCTTTTCACACGGGACCTCACATTGTATCGTTATTACGCCAGTTTAATTGGATTTCACAGGTACTCGAGATCTCACCTTTTTCCGACCGGCGTCGATTCTGAATCGCCCGATCGGAAGATTTGCTGCCAGACAGCGCGTGCAAGCTCTCCTTCGGCACACCACAATGCTGACGTAACCCTTTTGTAGGCACAATCTTTCGTTCGATCCATTTCGAATTTGAAATCGATGCTCTGCGGTTTCTAGCAGCACGAACACGCAAGAGATTGTAATACGTATTTTTTTAGTATTTTATTGGCGGCGTAGATCGAGTTACTTGGCTACCTTTTCGTTCCTTGTGGAGGAATATTTATTTGGATTATTTATTTGTACCCTCTGGTTAAGTGGTGGATCGTTTTTGGTTTCATTTTACATGTGAGAATAAAATTGCGAGCGGAGGATTGAGAAGACTTGTTGTTAAGATAAGTAATTAAAAAGGCTAGGTTGTTAACCGGTTTTAGCTGTTGCAATCTCTTTGGATAGTATACGCGTGGCTGTTATAATTAGACTGTGGATTTTATGCGTTTATGATAAAAATTAATAGATCGAATGCGAAATAGCAATTTATACGATTTCAACATGTTCTTGTATTACTCTGCGGACTCCATTAATTAAAATATCGAATTAAGTTGTGTCGGAATGACTGTTTTCTTTTCCTATTTTGTTATATACCTAACTCAACCAGTATACAGCTGACTAGTTAATCGGATAATCGTCTTTCGAATGGACGTTTCCTGTTTCGGAAAAACATTCAGCTGGTCCAAATTACTTCAAAAAATGAGACAATGTTCTCAAGACCATTCGTATGAAACATTTTATTGAACGAAGAGCTGCGCGACGCGCGAGGAATATGCCGCGCCAAGTCTCCGGCAATCGAAGCGCATAAAAAACGCATCGAGGTAAAATAAATATACCAGCTGAAACGGCAGTCTCGGACGACTAGAGATTGGCTCCCGTGACAGGCAGAATCTCGCCGGGCACAGAGATTGACAGACAGTTCGCAACGAAATCGAGAATCGAGCGTCGTCGAGCATTTATCGCGTATCGAAAGAGAAACCGCGAGGCGAACGGGGCGCAACAATGGCGCTGTGTACGCCATTGTCGTTCACCATTATCTCCGTCCCATTAACCGCGTTTATGCGAAGGCGGTCGACCTCCTCGGTCGGCCACGGTCGAACTTCTATCGTACCAAGAAAAAAAGCCGGCCGCGACGCGGCGGTGGTGCAGGACGCGCGGCGGGGGCGGTGAAAAAAAAACAACGGCGAGGAGACCGAAGGAATTCGTGGGCGTGCAATTGCCAACAGGTGATACCATTGGGGCCTTCTCTTGGAGCTCGAATAATAAGAGAAAGGCGAACAGCGAGCGGCAGGGAGAGAGGCAGAGGCGCAGAAAGTCGCATCGGAGAAGGAGGGACAGAGGACGGGGGTGGAAATCAGTAGGGGGGGGAGGGTTGCCGGAAGGGTGGCCAACAAAGTCTTTGTCGTTTCGAGGACCGATTACAAAGCCCGATTGTTGCCCTTCTTCGGGATCGAACAATGTAAATAGCAATACACGCTTCTACGTTAAGTTAATCATAACTTGTCCCCAACTATTCCTTCATTCCCCAATCGAAAACTTATTTAACGTAAACAGACGCATAGATTTCTCTTCTCTTTTTCCCAGACTGACGATTACTACACATTTTTTTACAGCATCATAGCTACATACGCTCAGATTATCCACGAGAATGGATTCATTTCCGGACAGATCACAAAAATCCAGAAAACCAATTCCACTAGTCTCAGTAACTGGTC